TGTGCTCCCTCAGGTGTGTGGTGATGAGGTTTTTATCACATATAACCTACCACCAAGCAGAGCCAATCTCAGGACAACAATTAGGCCTCCACCCTCCATCCACACTAGGCATGCATGTGTGGTTAGGTGCTCCTGGTGTCCAGGCACAGCTGGTACAGTAGCGAAGTGACTGCGGATTTACAAACCATTCTTGGTACCGTGTACATTGGTCAGCACCACTTCATGAGTGCACAGGCTGTGCCAGATTTTTTCATGTTGCAAACTTCTTCAGGGTATAATCATGTTGAAGTTGATCTCTCCCTCTCTCTTTCTCCCCTCCTTCTCAGGAACATTTTGGCAAAAACAATTTTGTGAATTCCAGTGAACTGTGGTACTCTACTGTCAGCCACGATATAAAACATGAAGCCTCTGTGATTAACAGCAATAATCAGACCGAATACGCACTTGTCAACATGCCCAAAACAAAGGAAAATATTGCCAGCGCTGAAGAACACAGTGAATATGATTATGTCCTGATAACTTAGAAAAGGACACTTTCTGCCCCCAAGGCACTCTTTTACTTGAATGTGTCAGCCTTGCTAACCATCCTACCTCTCCTGTCAGGTCTTCAAACAAACACCTCTCTCTTATTATCAGGCTTACTCATTAGGATACATCTACCAGTCATTCCAATAAGACAAATCTGTCCCTGAAAAGGTGATTCGAGAAAGAGACTTGGACAAGGTATAGAACTTGACAATCAAACCAGGAGGAATCATTATCAACTGCCATCGTAAGACGATGTTTCGCTATAGAAAATTAGGTGCTTCATTCCTAAGTAACTGAGGCTGCACTTTTTTCTGGACTTTTACAGTACTATTTTTTTTAAAAGAGGTCTTACAGGAGTACTGATAGAAATCTCAAAAATATAATAATAATAGCCCTTTTTTTTTTTTTGAGTGTTTGTTTTGGTTTTTTTTTTAAATGAAAGCATAGACCCTGTGTTATGTGCATTTACTCTTTTCCAAAGTTTCTCTGGCCTGCTTGATATATAGCATTACAGCATTACACAATGCACAGGTTTGATAAATAACTCATTTCTCAAATTCCCCCCCCCCCCCCCATATCTTACAGTGAAGTCTTAACGAAGTTGGAATTAAATAAAAAACCCCAACAAACTGTATGCAAAACAAAAATTCCAGACACTTAGAAGATTATGAAAACTGATGCTGCACAGGCAGATGCCACACACCTCTCAGGAGAGGATTCCCAAGTGCTGCCTCCATGACATAATGCTTTCAGCTCACTCCTGCAGGAGTCTCAGGTTTAGCTCTCTGCGATGCCAGAATATAACCTCCTCACAGCCCATCAACCCTCTGCAACAGCATTTCTGGACATGCTCATAGGACTGAAACCAGTTATTCAACTGTTCACCACAGCTCATAAAATGATTATGTCTTGCTTAAGCATGGGTGTTTTTCTCCCTCCATTTTTTTAATAAAACAATTTGAAAGAAAACGTTGAACAGTTTTTCTGATTTTAAATCCTCCTTTGTACGTGATGGCTGGCTGCAGCCCTGGCCTTACCAGGTAGCGCCTTTGCGATTCCTGCCTGCAGTTTCGGTGCCAGGGGCAGTCCCATGGGTGAATGGCTACACACAGCAACGGACAGACACAGTGCTAGCATGGTGCAGGCAGACCTCTGCAGGTACTGCTGCAGTGACGGGCAGCTGAATCTGCCCCAAATTTGTACTGGCTGCTGTGGCTATACAGATGACTGCCTGCCATGGGATTTTAAAGAGCTGGCTGTACACTCCACAAGCTGAATTACCAGAACTATCTTTTCTCTTCCTTTTTAACAGTGTCTCAGTTGCCTTGGTCATTAAAGTATTACCCACAATCCTTCTATTGAAATTAACATTAAGCATTCACACAAAATATCTAACTTAATAAAATAATGTGTTTTCACACTGCTCTGTCCCTTATAAATGAGGTCGCGATTAATTCACTTGGTAATTTTATTTTACATGATCGATTTTCCTCAAAGATATAACTCCAGAAACCACTTTTTGTCATTTTTTGACATTTCCTTCAATGAGAGCTCAAAGCTTGACTGAAGGTAGACTGTGAAGTCGGACATTTTCTGTTGAATATCACGACACCTTGCTACAACTCTACCTCCTTCTTTCCTGTGAATTGCTGGGGTAAAGGTACTGGGGCAGAGGAGGATGGCTGGGGAAAAAAAAAGAATGTTTGTTTCCTTTTTTCTGTTGACTCTTAATGCTCATAGGAGTATCACCATAAAGAAGCATAATCATCATATTATTTTTCAGTTCCTAGAAACACAATCAAGATGAAGTTTTCAAGGGCAGGTTCAGTTATCTTAGTAAGCATAATAAGATCAAGCAACATCTCAAAGGCAAATTATTTCTTTGCAGTTGATATTTACATAGCCTGCTGGTTTTGGGACAAACCATGAATTTTATCCTTCCCCTGCGTAAGAATCAGAAGCAACATCTCTTCTAGTTGTATGCTGCATAGAATATTGCATTAAGAGAAATTATGGTTCTTACAGCCAACGCTACATCTTGCAGATCAAAATGGAGTCAGAATTAGCCACAAATACAAGAGCCATGTGAACTACTAACTTGGTCTAGGCTGTTTCCCAAGCTCAGTTAAAACTCGAGCAACAACAAATATGGGTTTGAGTGTCTGGCTTTATCAGACCGTCACTCCACACATCTGTCAGCATTTAGAATTTTGGTGGTTATTTTCCAACTCAAACAGCTAAAAGATGAGAGCCACTGAAGAATGAAAACAATCACTTCAAGATAAAAATAAATAATTTAATGCACAGTAAAACTGTCAGATTACTCCTTAAATAAACTAGTAATATTAGAAAAAGAGATACAGTTTCCCATAAGATATTTCTCACAATACAAAATGTTTCTTGAAATAAATTTATCTGTCCAACAGCACTAACATTTATACCGGCTATAAACAAATGACAAGAAGCTATACTTCACTAACATGGTAGTGAATCAATTCTATCCTGCGTTAAGTTAATGCTTTTTTAATTTTCATGTGATAGCCAGTTAGTTGCTAGAACTCTTATGCTATGCTGGCCTACATGGTCTGCTTCAGCACCTTCCTCTTGGCCTTGGTCCATATCAGCTGATCTCTTGTCAACAAGAACAAATATTTGCTGCCTTATTAAGGCAAATATCTTGCATCTGTTCATTTTTATCCCCACTGCTGGGACAGGGGCTATAATTAAGGGTACAGATTAGTTTCTCTTTGAATTGACAAATGCAGATCAAATAGCTGTCTATTCACTAGTATAAATGTCTAATTATTAAAGCACCCAGCTAATTTGACCCTTGAAATATTCCTGTGGCATTCAGATGTGTTAACGAACAAGGCATGTTTCTTCCCAATGTTTCTTCCTTCATTTCTATTTCACATTACAGAAGAGAAAAATAGAACAGATACCACCTTATCCAGGAAGGTTATAGGGTGACCAAGGGAATGAAGAGAGTTGAAGCTCACTTAAGAAGCTAGTGCAAGGGTATTGCATATAATTAAAGAAAATAGAGAGAGGATATTTAAGTTTTCAGGCTGTTTTATGAGGAAAGAACAGGGAAACATGGCATACAAATTTAACAGGGAAAAAAGTAACAGACATGAGCGTGGGGGGAAGTGAGCATTAAGGATAAAGCTGTGCAGATAATTCTGGATAAGCCAAGAGAAGGAGAAAGGAGCCACGTGCAAGACTGTTTTGAAAGCTTATGCAGGGAATCCAGATTTAATTATAAGGCAAGATAAAGCAGAAGTTTCAAAGTCAACAAAGCATGCATCAGACAAAGTACATGATTTTTGTTAGAGTGAAATGTGTTATTGAGGTGCCAGGACAACAACGAAGGAGGTAGCGGCATTATAGGAATATAACACTGTTATAAATATACCACATTTTCCATTTACAATATTGCATCAGAGACAGTATTTACAGGACAACATCTTTAGAAGTGTTTCTACCGAATGAATAGGTCCCTATCCTAGGATTACTACTAGATAAGGAGAAGCTCATGTCTTCTAGGAGGTGTGGAAGGTGAGGAGTCTTTCCATCATTTCTCTGAAAGTTAAACCAGTACATTATTAACATTAAAATGAAACTTCATATATTTCATTCCTGCCCCTTTACACTACATTTTCTATGAATCTTGTCAATATATAAGGAACAAAATGATACTGAGAATTGGAATGCATGACTTTTACTGCTCTCTTGTCCCCTGATAAGAGTACCAAGAAAAACTGAACAAGATAATTGCAAATCTTACTTATATACACTGTGTAGTGATGCATTAGCCTAGAATTATTCTGAAAGCATGCAGGTGTGGCTCAGTAAGTTGCGGGTGGGGGGAAGCAGGTCCATGCATTGTTTTCAGTAAAACTGCAAAGCTCATAGGACTTTTATCCTGATATTTCAATCAAGACAAATCTAAATGCATTTGAATCACTACTTAGTCACTGGTAGTCATTGGAATCACTACCTAGAAAACCTGTAAGAATGAATATTTGGTTCCTTTAAAAGGTATTTGTTTTATAATACATTTGTCCAAAAAACTAAAAAGACAAAAGTCAGGAGGTTTTTTCATCCTTGACTGTGAAAAAAAAAAAATCAGAAGTTTAATCCTGAATTACTTATCCTCTTTTACTTGGATTAAAATTTGTTTATAAGCATTCAAATATGAATATACAATGAGGAGAAATATTTAAAATTATTTGGCACCCTGTTATGGTACACACATATATGAGGAGATTGTCTTGTATGCAGAGATCTGAAAAGTTATGTTGGAGTCCATAGCTAACCAGTCTCATCACTACTCCCTTTCTCATCAGAGGACCAAACAGTGAATCCTAGGTTATAAACTAAGCATAATAAGACTCTTGAAAACTGAATATTTTACAATTTTCTTAATACTGTTGTGCAAAATATATTTACTAACAAATCTCAATATCTTTCTAGAAAAATTTCTCTCCTTTCAGGTAAACACTTCCGCTCGTTGTAAAGAAACAGACTCTCTAATGTACAGTACTTACATGTTAACGTGAGAGAAGTTGGGTCAAGCTTTAACCTGTTATATTCAGATGTCCCAGGACCAAAAGTATCTTCTTCATCATAAATACTTTGACGTAAAACGTTCCTTATAAAATCTGGGTTCATTATGTTTTCCATAAACCCCTCTGCAGATGGTGGTACAGAAAACTCTAGCTGATAAAATACAGTGGAGCTTTCATTACTGAAAAACAAACAAAGTATGTATGCCTTCAAGTCCCCGCTGGATCTTTTGTTTTTTGAGAAGGCTGACTTTTCATACAAATGTTGGCAAGGATTTTTTAAAAACTTGTTCTAAAGACAATCATTATTAAAAAACCCCTGCCACCAAAGATTCCAGTTTCCTCCTCCCCCTTCCTTGTCAGAACAGCTCTTGACATTAACAGAAACTGGGCACACACCTGAAGCCAACCTGAGACAGGTTTTCAAATGCACAAAGGGCAATTGGACCTGTGTCCTAATGGGGTGAGGTTTTTAGCAGTTGTGCTTCACAAGTACATGACAATAAGAGGTGCTGGGATATCTCATGCATAGGTTAGCTGCAAACCTGCAAAGAGATTTGCTTTCCTGCTAGCAGTACCTGGGGCCATCAAGCTCTACTCCTAACTCAGAGATGGAGTGGATTATGCAAACCACTGAACTGGAATCCATCTCTGGAGATTTCATTGTTTGTGATCTACCAAATCCACTGACTACAATTTGACAGTTACATTTTGTACTCACAGAATTTAAAATATCAAACAAGCAGTTGGATGGGGGAAAAGAAGACACAGAGAGAGAGAAAGAGAGAGAGGGAGAGAGAGGGAGAGGGGGAGATCAGCTAGTCAATATGTATGCAGAACTACAGCTTTCTACTTGAAGGTCTAAATCATAATGTTTACCCGTAAGGTTAAGGAGCTACAGCTCATTCATTGAACAGAACCAGAATGCACAAGGCTGGCAGTGCAGGTGAGCACATTCTCCAAAGCTGGAGCATAGGAGGTTCTGCATTAGCATAAGGAAAAACTTTTTCAATATGAGGGTGCCAGAGCACTGGAACAGGCTGCCCAGAGAGGCTGTGGAGTCTCCTTCTCTGGAGACATTCAACACCTGCCTGGACATGTTCCTGTGTGACCTACTCTAGGTGGTCCTGCTCTGGCAGGGGGGTTGGACTAGATGATCTTTCGAGGTCCCTTCCAACCCCTAACATTCTGTCATTCTGTGATTCTCAGGACAGACCCTTGCTGCAGCCCAAGGGGGGGGTTTCTTCCATTCTTGCTCTCTCAAAGGCCTTGAGACTTTGCAAATCTACTTTCCTTGATCGTCTCCTGTCTTTCTAATGCCTTTTGTAACAGTGCATTTTCAGAAGTCCTTGGGGAAGTTCTCTGACTGCCCTCCCTTGCCTCTACTCTCTCTCTACCACAGGACCATGCTGCAGCTGATCTTCCCAGCCCCACCCTTCCCTCTGCTGCTCAGTCACCTTCCTGTTGTAAAACTGTGGTATACCCATAGATTAAAACTTTGCAGTCTCAAACACAGTAAACTCCTTAGCCTTCCTCCAGTGACAGTTTCCACCAAGAGTAAGATCCTCCCTCTGTTCAAGCTTGTAGCTTTCTGTTGCCACTGCAAGGCAGGCCTTTATGCTTTTCCACTTCTTCCCACCACTGCTACTCTGCTGGCTCCATCAGTCTTCAGTGGCTAAGCTTCCTTCACATGTAAGCATCTCCCACCCAGGCTAGCCTAGCCTCCACTCTGCCACCTGCTCTGCCTCTCACTCCTGTTATGCCAGTCTCTCCAACATGCTGTTGCTTTGAGATTTACTCCTGTTGTCCAAAACAAAGCAAGGGAGAAGAGTGGTCCAAACAAACTAGCAATGCTATATTACTGTTTTGTCTCTCACAACTTGTATGTCCCCATTGCCTTTAGCTCTTTTGGAAACAAAAGAGTTCTCCCCTCCCCATGAACGCTGTTTTGTTTATTTAAGGCTATTTAAGCCATGTCAATCTCAAGTGGTTCCAGCAGCTCATTTTCTTTTTAATAAACATACTTGAACATGTTTATTAAGGGCTGCACTTGGAACCAAAGACAACAGAGATGATACTTAACAGCAACAAAATGTTAGCATCATTATGTATTATTAGCAGCACTTGCCATTTACACCAGAGGATCCTTTGACCTGTTTTTGCTGCCTATATATGTAACTTTCCCCAAAAAAACCTATTTTTCACAGATTTAATTGTTGTGCAAATTTACACAGGCACATGTATGTCTCATCAAAAGCTCAGAATTTTCAGATAAATTTTATGATGCTTACCTGAAGTAAACTACCTGAGCTGACCTAAAGTAGCGTCCTAGAGCTGGAGATGAACTGTAGACGTCTGTTAACTTGGAGAGAAAAAAAGAAAAAGAAAAAAAATTCTTCCGTTCACTCTCTTTTCCCCATGAAAGAAAGTATAGCAAATCATTCTTACAAGGTGTTTTAACAGGCATAAACACAGGTGTTGAAGGTCAAATATCAGCAAATATCTGCCCTGGAAAAGGCACACAATCCCTTTAATCTTGGCAGACAAGTTAACTTATGTGTTTGAGTGATTACTGTATTACCTATACAGAACGGAGGCATTCAAGGTGAACTAAAAAGCAAGTGCTCATATTGCCATGTGCAATTTATGTTGTTTGGCTTGGGGTTTTATCAGCATCAAAAAGCCCTTCTACTCGTACTTGGTAGAGGGAAGGGTCTCTCTACTGAGAGTCCCTTTCCACGATAAGTCTAAATCAGCACTGCCGTGCCTGTTGAGCTTATTTCAGCCCTAACTCACAGCTGTGATGGCTCAATGGAAACAACAGTTATAAACTCAGGATGTCATCGTGTACTTACAGCAGAATGCAACACATAGGATTTTTAGCCAGCATAGGATTTAGATGTCCTTCACTGACCCATCCTAACCTAAATTATTCAATGATTCTATGAAAAAGGTGAAGACTATGTCCCAATCATTACCCAAATTTGGGGAAAAAAACAGGCACACTACTTTTTTTTTTTTTTTTTTTTTTTTTTTTTTGTACACTTTAATGTCAATGTGAACTGCTTGTGTGCTTAAAAGCAGACAATTATTTTTTCTAGATCAGGACTTAAAATTATACTAGAAAAGTACAACTCAGAATTTTTTGTGGACTTGCAAATAACTGAGTTGCTGCACAGAGAAACAGAAACTTCTTAAGAGGGAAAACACTGAATCTGAGTTACAAGCAGAATCAGCTTTGTCAAGAACCGCATCAACATATACCTTTTTAGTAATATCTTCAGAGAAAATGTGTGGGAGACAACACATTAACTTCAACGTTCCCGAAAAATTGCGACAATTTCCACTATTTAGCAGTGCATCAGGATCCCAATAGTCATCCTCATCTATGTAAACATCTAATATTTGAAAGGAGATAGAAAGGGAAGGAAAAAGTTCCAGTTAGAAGAAGTATTGAAAAAAACTCTCTTGGCTTTCTCCAGGGTGACTTTCTCAAAAGTTTCCTTGGTAATGACAGACTGGGAGTGACAGAAAGAAAGTGCAAGTCACCTGAAGAAAAGGGACAGCACATGGAGGTCAATCACCCACCCCCATTAACAAAGGTCAGGTGCTTTGGGAGCCTGACTGACACCACACAAAGGGACGCAAGTGATCCATTGCACTTGTTGCAATGTTACAAGCATCATTCCCATCCTCATCCACGACTCTGTTCTCATAACACTTTCTCACTTCACTACAAACTGGAATTGCCATCTGATCAGGATAAAAGTTGCTTGCTGCCAGTTAAAATAAAAGCATTCACACGGACTACTCAACACACCACCCTCTGCAGCCAGCATCCCAGTCCCTTCGGCAGTTTACAGGAGATTACAGGATGCTGCTGTTCAATTTGTGTTATATTAGACTGTATATATTTGTATTAGAGGACAAACCAAGAGTGAGTTACTTACTAGAATAAAGAATTAGGCTGATGAGAATGACCAGGAAGAACACTAGAAAAATTGTACTTATAACCATCCATAGTTTACACTTCCAGAAAACTACATTCCTGCATGTTTTCCAGTGATCTCTCTCCTAGTTATAAAAGGAAAGGGCAAACTGATTAATGACATAAGGCAGGAAAAAATATTGAAACATGTCTCTACTGTCACATTTAGAAACAAAAAGCCCCACATAGATGTAAGTGCCTCATTGGTAAACAATGCCCTACACCAGGGGTTCCCACCCTTAACTCTTGCTGCAGGTGGGAATGTAGACCTGCAGAAGGCAAAGGACATTCACAGGCAGGCTATTACTTGAAAAAGAGACGTACCATTCCCCATTTGTGCAGAATTTCTAACTCCTGAATTGCCCATAAAGCTAGGGTGCTACAAAGGTGCTCTCATGGCTTTCAATTTCTCTTTAAACTATGTCAATTTGATTTGCATGTTCCACAAGCTGTCTTTTTAAAGTTTGACATCTCTCCCAACCAAAAAGGTGTCTGTGGAGGAATTTCCAGAATCATTCACCTCTGCAACGTTGATGATATCAATCTGCATGGCTTCTGGGTGTCAGCACCCAGAGCAAGTGTACTGCTATTCGTTAGACACTATTGCATTAAAAACCACTGTAACATAATTGAGACTTTTACAGGTGACTCCCTGTTTTCTTCAGAAGATTAGAAATTTGAAGGCTGTTTGGTACACTTAACAAAGTTTATTACAAGTCTCACCTGTTCTAGGAGATCACAAGGAAACTCTCTTCAAAGCAACTGTGCATGCATGTACATTTACATAGGACAGAAAGGGCAATAGTTTAATTTTAGATAAGGTTTAAGACAATAGCAGAAATTAGTCTTTTAATTAGTCTTTAACACCAGCAGTACTAATGTTAAAAAAAAAACCTCAGGTGACATAGCAAAAAAAAAACCCCAACTCCAACTGCTTTGTTCCATGGCCAGAACACTGAAGGAAAGCCATGAATTCATAAGTAGACCATGTTGCCTTTTTAATTCCTCTTCCTCTCCATCCACCATAAACCCAGTGGTAAACTCCATGTCATTTTTGACATCAAGACCAGGCAAGGAAAACACATGCTGTAGGTTGTCTGGGCCACACACATGCAGGTTGGCAGGAATGAGCTGAGCTGCTGGCTGGAGGTGCTAACCCAGGTTACCTTCCCTTACTTTTTGAACTTTCTAAGAACCCAGCATAATAGAAAGCTTTTCACTGAATTTAACTGACATCCACCAGCTGGCTTAAAGCTTCTTTGGGGGTGACAGATGAACAGGGAGAGAAAACAGACACCCACAGAAAGATCTTACAAGAGTCATTTCTCCAGGAATAGAGGCAGAGAAAGTGAAAGTGCTCTCTGCAGACATCCCTGCATGCAGAACTTTGCTTTGGTGGAGAATGAAGGGCAAAGGCTGGATACGGTTTCACTTACAACATGCTTTCACGTGTGATCATGTTTACATACATATTTTTTATTTGATTTGTAAAATGTATTAGAAGAATGAAGATTCAATTTAATACTTGACACTAGCATATTGTTTTGTATTGGACTAAGAAAAAAAAAAGCCAGTAACTGCTGCCTAGAGTACAACTATGAAATCAGCCATAGTAATATGGACTGAGACAACTATGAAGCCCAAGTTTCAATTGAGCCACATATTTAGAGCATCACAAAAGTGTAATTTTTAATCACACATAGCAAACTGGCTTGATCTCAAGCAAACATTCAGTTCTCCAACTATCCAACACTCTCTGGACACTGCTCATATATATCACAAGACTGCTGGGAGGGAGCGACAGCAGAGAAAAATCTCTCTCTGGTGGGCAGGGCAGTTCTTCTGATTAACGTGCCACTTGAGCAGGAAGCAGAGCATGATAGTTTACCAGCAGTCCCTGTAGGATAGGAAGCCAATTGCCAGAATCAGCAGAAACAGAGCCCAAATGAAAACTCAGTTCTGGGAGGGGGAAGGCTAAACAGAAACTTAAGGGTAAAGTTTCTCAAGATAGCTGAGCAGATCTCGCTCACCCCTGCATCTCTTCCACCCTCTTCTGTTCCTCTTTGCACCTCCCTAGAATTTGTCTGACCCTGCAGCAAGCTGATTCAGCTTACCAGACCAGAGGAGAAGTAGCTGGCCTGCAATATAGTAGAGTAAATGGAGTTTTTGTCTAGCTGGTGGAATGAATCAGCCCATGGAGATGATCAGCAGGGCTCACACAAAGAAGCGGTCGCTGCCGGGAGCAGGGAGGGAGTGGTGGCGTGACTAATACAGTCAAGCTCTCAGGGTGGCTCAGCCACCCCTACTGAAAAGGCGGAAACTTCTTAGCTCTGCCACAGATATTCCCTCTGCACTTGAGTAAGTAATGAAAAATCATCGTACAACAGTCACCTGTGAGAGTTGTCCACATTACTCCTTTGCCAGTGTCAGTCTGTTCCATAGCTTTGAGCTAGACGCTGGCAGCTACCTCCCTCAGGACTCACATGCTGGTCTTAACTGAGACTTTGGGGCACTCTATTAGTACAAATTCATAATTGTTAGCAACTGCAAACCACTCAAAGATAAAAAAAAGAGAGAATCCAGCACAGTCTGTTGCAGGGCATCCTATTCTTGTTTTGGCAGCGCTCTTTTCTGATTAATTTCTTCTGAAAGAAAGCCTGTTTTGATATGGGTTCCAACCTTACTCTGATCTGGATTTGAGCCCAATCCTACACATGAAAAGAGAACGCAAAACTCAGAATACCAATTATAAATTCATTTCCTAAAGTAAAGCTCACAAACAGCCAAGCAAAAAAAATAATAAAGCTTAAAATCCCATTCCAATATTAGAATACTTTATTGAGAGGAAGAAAAGAAATATATTTAACAGGTTTTCAGCCTTTACTTCAAGTGAATAACCTTTCCTGCTCACTCAAATGACAAATTAAACCACCCCTACAAAATGTTCCTGCAAAGTGGTATTTTCCACAACAGCAATCATCAAATAAGCAGAAGTCCTACCTTTCTTGTTTGAGCGTTTAGAGGCTTGTCATGATCAGCCTCACTTTCCTCCACATTATCTTCTTGTAATTCAATAACCTCATGCTCCTGACTACAGCTTTGCCTTTTCATAGCTTCTGTCTCTGTGCGAGGACCTCTGTCTCTGAAGCAAGCACGGAGGCAACTCATTTCCTTCTGGTTTCAGCTGCAGTTATGGTCAGTAACAGTTCTGGTATGAGGGTGGAGACGATAACAGGGAGAGTTGGGACAGTTTTCACTGGAGTGATCTCAAAACACTGATAAATAAAGGGAATTCCCTAGAAGGACAAATAACATTGTCTGCACTAGTTACAGAGACATGGGAGGTGGAAGGAGTATCGATTTGCCTAGTTGTCATAACTACCACTCTCAGCTGGGCAATACTAGGTTTTCCAGTTTGTCTACCTTACTCTACGATCCCTTTATAAGCAGGTGACTAAACCTTCAGCAATGCTGTCATTTGCTATGGCAATTTTGAAAGGAACCGGTTGCTTTCCCTTGTGCTATCAGCTGAAACAGTAAAACACTACCGCTGTTATCCACGCAGCTAAACAAACAGATGTGATTCTGAACAGCACAAACTGAGTAAAGGATCACATAGGCTGTAAAGGGAAGGAATAATATTGACCTTTGTGCTGTTAATTGTCCTCTGTCTAGCTGTTATACAGACTAAAATCCGGTCTGGTGTTAAAGAACCATTTATATCTACATATACTATCCAACCTAAACCTGAGAAGCTGCTTCCATGCAAAAAAACCAAAAGGACAAATCTGAAGAGAAGAGACAGATGGACTTCAATTTCAGCCTGTGCTCTACAGAGCATGCTTTTGTGAAACAATCATGGTGTGAGTTGAGATCTGGTCTGCACTAGCTTCCCACATGAACTCTCCCGTGTTACTTAGAGTCACTCATAACAACGCACTGCAGCCGAGGGCTGATTTATCCCTCCACTACCCCAGTATTCTTCATCCTACCTCCTCTCATTTTTCCTGCTCTAACTCCATCCTCGTGTCTCCTTCCTCCCCACAGAGCACCTCTCTCCCCTCTGGATCAAGGGTTGGGCAGGCAGCCTGTAGCTGCTCGCTCTCTTGTCCCATAACAGAGAGGATCAGGCACTAAGAGAGAAACAAAGCCTCTTTCTCCAATTCCCTCCTCTCTGGCCCAGTGTCCACTCACAGCACTGCTCTATCTTTTTCCTGCTAAGTGCTGAGGATGCTTCCTCATGCCCCAGATTTTCACTTTGTGCAACTCATCTGGCTGCTGATGCCTGGAGCATTCCCAGGGATTCAGACTCCCAACGTCATGTCACAGCCATCCAGGCAAAGGCAATCCATGAAGCTGAGCACACAGCTTGGTTTCATTCGGCAAATAAAAAGAAATACAAATTGCATACCTCACCTTTGGTTCTGGAGAATCCTTAAAACTCTGGAGGACTGAGGATGAAGCTGAGAAGTCATCAAGACAAAAACTTGTGTCTGGATCTACAAGATTCTACCTGGAACATCTTCACTAGAAAAGCCTTTGCCCGCTGATTCTCAGTACTTGTGCTGGAGATGAGCTTCATTTATTTCATTTCCACTCGCAGAAAAAGAACTTACCTTCCTACTGAATTGTTTGAAACCAAAACAGTCTTTTTAAGTCAAACAAGTTAATGATTATAGATCTCAACCTGCAAAAGCCAAAGTCCTTTCTTTTACAACTGTGAAGGAGCTCCTTACTAAGTCTTGAGTTTCTTTCATCTGGGTGATCTAACTTCCACATTTGATGCCTTTCTTGCACATGAAGTAACTGACCTTTCTGACACATGGAGCTGAGAAAATCTTAAAGAAAATGGGAAGTCAAGAACCGATCTGAACTTTCTGGCCTATGCTTTTATCTGAAACAGAACAGCAGGAAAATTATTTTCTTTCATAGTGAAGGCATCTCTGGTTTCAATATATGAAAGAGAACCTTGTGTTCTTAAAGGTGTGCTTTAGTAAAATAGGCAAGCTAGGCTCAGCTTTACAAAAGACGAAACACTGAGGTACAAATACAGTTCTGATTGCAGCTGGGGATTAGAGTTTCAGAGGCATAATCAAATAAATAAAACATAGCCACTTGCATTTTTAGCTCATGTTTACTAAAAAAGAAGATGTGAATGACTAACTAGCCATTAAAGATACTAAACCACTTAAAGTATAGGCTTTGAGTATAGCTTATGTAGTAAGTTTGACATAAGCATCAGGGAGGCAGGGGGAATTCACAACACTACTGCAAGAAATGAAGGAAAAGCAGTATCAGTGTTAAAAACAGGAATCTCACTGCATGTAGATTACAGCGCTAGCTCATTCCAGTGTGTTCCCCACATGCTGCCAAGGTGGGTCTAAAGCTAAACAAGGATCACATATTTATGTGCTGTAGAATAAAAGTGTACTGTGTGGACAGCAGTTACTGGTATTTGAAAGGCCAGCTTCATCATGGTTGGTTTTTCTTAATACATTAGAGTTGACAGCTAAACACTTGCAAATACTGAACACAATTTTAACACCATCTAGACAGATATTTTATTGAATTAAATACCAGACTTAAGTCCCATAAACAGCTTTGGAAACCTTAAATCAGCTAGATTTGGACTGATTGGCTCATCAGATGATTATAATTATCAAAACTAGATTTACTGCTAGAGTTAAAGCAATGTGGCTGCCATTTCCTCTTCTACTTTCTTTGAGTACAAGGATATATCCAACTACATAAATTCATTTTCCTTTTATGTCCTTTTCAATATAGTGTGGCCATGTGGACACAGCCCAGGAAGAGATACAAACCAAAAATACTGACCCTGAAACTCTGCTTGCTGCAGACCGAGGACATTAGGAAAAGCAGTGTGAACCCACCAAGAGCATGCTAAATATTCACAAAGAGAGATGGGGAAATACGCTTTTAACGTATTGTAAACATCAGACCCTACAGCTATGTTCAAACTGTAAAGAGAACGTAAGAAAGTGCTGAAGTTTCCTTTTGTTTAATTAATGAAAACAGAGTATTTCTTTCCTCTTATTTAAACATCATCCCAAAGAACCTAAATGATGTTCTTCTAGTTCTTCAGTGAAAATTTCTTACATCCTAACATTTGATAGCTATTTTGCTGATGTTTGTAGGAAAACACGAGACAGCCTAAAAGTTACAGCCCAGAAAGGAGCAGTCATGTAGTGGCAGCATAACTAGAGAAATAATTCATTTTAGCTTTCTACACTATACCGATCATAGTATTTGTATTTTCAAGAAACACGAAATAATCATTTATGTTTAGAATCCTCTAACATCACTAAGGTAATATATATGAGTTGAGTATATATGGGATGTGGCCATGAATATCCAGATATGACATACAGAGAGCAAGGTAGGTGGAAGAAGGGGAGAAGGTTTGCAAAAGAGAGATTTGGCTGGATGCTTGTTACAGGTTCTAATCCATTTTAATTTGGTTTTAAGGCAGTGCTGTTTCTGCTGATGGGGATAAGGAAAGTGAATCCATAAGGAATCTGAAGTTGCCTTGAATCTGAACAATTACTTCTAGGTGAACAACAAATGACAGTTTCTTCATTAAGAAAGTGCATTCTTTTGCAACGAAACAGTCAATGGCATTTTTGTGTTATATCATCAGAGATGGACATGATAGACTACTGTAGGAAGTAGCTTTCGTAAGGGTGATAGATGATCTGCATTTTCTCCTTGGCATATCTGGTTTGTATTCTGACGAATCCACTCATAAAGTGCCGTCACTTTAGTGTATACACCAGGACGATTGCAGCGAGCACATCCTTCACCCCAGCTCACAATGCCAGCAAGGTACCACCTATTTCCCTTTCCTGTGCAGGCCAAGGGACCTCCAGAATCTCCCTAAAATGAAGGTAGTTCAGCCATTAGTGAACATGCACACACACAGAGCACTGTAACAAAAGTTAAGTTATTTAAGGTCAGCAAATACCTGCTGTGCTCTTTCTCAAATTACAAATTATTATTAGAATCTTATTTCTGGATAGAATGCACCCAGCTAGATATCAAGTTTATTCAATTTCTTTCAAATACATAGCAATGGCAAGAAGAAGTTTGAAAAATTACTCATTGCTAATGTCCCATTACTGGATTCATAAAGCAACTGATTAGTTTGAATGAGAAGAGGAAAAGACAGGGATGGAAAGCAGGAATTCTGATACCATTTGACCATAAATTTTTCATAGATTGAAGGCAGAACTCTTTTACTATGTATTAAATAGGAACAGAAAAATATCACTCATCCCCAACAAAAAAAAAAAAACAACAACACAACACGCACACACAAAAAACCCTCCAAAACCAAAAAACAAACAAACAAACAAAACCCAAACAAACCCAAAACCAAAAAACAAACCAGGCACAATCAAGTATTATCAGCAGTTCATAATCAAGACTGTGTCTACTTTCATAGAGGGGGAGGAAGGAAAAAAGACTAAGAACTGGCTTCAAAGGGAACATGCAGCCCTATACAGGAATGTAGAAAAGTAACAATTCCTATTTAGTTCAGTTCATAGGCTCAAAATGCATTCGGGCTCCCAAACGCTTTGTGCCCTTCATTGTTTTAACTTTGTTCGCCTTCTGTGAACAGGCCTGGCCACAGAACTCAGAGCAGTTATGAATGCAGCTCATCTCTGCTGTTGTTCCTTGAGCATACAAGGCAGACAGCAGCCTCCAAGTTGACCCTGAGTCTTGTTTGCTGCCCTCAGTTGGAGCTAAAACATGGAAGAGATCAGAAGAAAGCCATATGCTGAGAAAAGAGTAACAATAGAGAGTCTCCATCACCCAATCAGTCAAAATTATCTAGAGATATAAGAAAAGAAGCCTGCATGGTTCTTCCTCTCTCTCAGGCTGCTGTTGTACTGGCAATTTTGATAATCCAAGGGCTGATATCAAAGTGACTTGAGAAAGGAGGCTATATGGTCAATCCAGTTACACAGCCAGTTCTGAAAGATTGAAGGGGGGGAGAGGAAGGATCCTAAAAAGAGGAACCAAGATCAAAGAACATCCTAAAGTGATAAGAAGCAGAGCCTACGAGAGCAAATGTTTTATGTCTCACTGCAAGTATCACATCCTCTAAAGACGAAAAGTGTTTGGAAGCTTCACATAACCTGTGCAATACCTGCACAGCTTACATGTCTGTGAAGAAATGAAACAAATCAGGAGCCTTGACCTGTAGTAAAAGGGTTTCAGGGTGCTGTGGTGGTTTCCAGAATGAAGAAATAGCAAAGATTCTACCCAGACTAAGAACTTAAAGGCCCAGAGGGCCAGTAGACTGAGACTCAAACACAGCACATTATGATAGAAACTGGATTGACCAACATGTTATGTAGCCAAATTGGTTTAAATGTCCATCTAAAAATTCAAGGGCATTTCTTAAGCAACAGACTTTTGAAGGACATCAAGCCTCTAAACTAACATGTTCTAGCAAAACTATTCCAAGGTCTAAGGTTATAGACAAACTGCACATAAATTTAACAAAAATAATAATTGAATTAGAGCTTAGAGACTACAGAAAAATCCTGCCAACAGTCTGTTATGCATGAAGAATTTCAACCCATTATGAGCTATGGTCTTGCAAAAAATTATTCTATTACATTGAAATAGTAAAATTTATATATTACACAAAAATTCTATCAAATTACTGCAGTGTAAAATCAGTAACACATTTCTCTCCCTATACGCAGTAACTGGTGTAATAACCACATTTGTAATTTTGAAAGTGGGTATTCATCATAGTAAGTTTAAATACTCATAAAGTACACAACTAGTCTAATAACTGAGAAGAAGGAAGAAGGCAGAGTCAAGACAGTTGAAATACATCCAAAGAGCAGTTTCTGATTGTGTGTGTAAATAAACTAGGTCATACAACTTATGATACCATGACGAAATCAAAACTTGTGATTATACACATGAATGAACATTTGAAACTAAAAGGCAGCATTGCAACTGCATTTACCAAACCTAGCTTACCTCTTCCTTCTGCATTTCTTTGGAACAGTAACAATACATTATCATCATACCATTACAGTCACACCCAGATATCAAAAAAGGATAAAGATCAATATGAATGGCAAAAATTGCAGATGGCCCTAACTTTATTCCCTTTATCTTTATGTCCCTGCATTATAGGAAATGTAACTGTTGAAGAGGAAAAAGAATTATTTTTGATACATTTTACCCCTTGTCTTTGCAAAGCAACATTTCTCAAGAGCTTCAAAAATTATCTATGCCAAATTTCCTTCCTTAGTTTGGAGAGCCTTTAACTGCCATCTTAAATAAACCGTACACTCAAGACATCTCTCTCTATTCCTAAGAAAAAAAAGAAAAAAAATCAACAACCCACAACTCTGAACAGCTTTCCGATGAAAGTAAATATGCCTTTGTAGTTTTTCTACAAGTTGCAGATTACCTGGCACGTATCAACACCACCATTAAGATTTCCAGCACACAGCATACGTGATGTGATAAGGTCATCATACAGCTTGTTGCAAATACTTTGGTTGATCATTCTCACTCGAGCTTCCTGCAGTGTTTTGGCAAGATGACCTAGAAAAAATACAAATGACATTGCAGAGGTTATGGTGGTACAGAATTCTGACAGAGATACAACTTGTCAAAACAAAAAAGAATTGCTCCATGCTCAAAATCTACTCAACTGATGACAGAAGAGTAATTCCCCTCCCTTCAATCGCTGCCTGCCCTCAGCTTTTTAAGCTGTTGTCTACACTACCCTCTAGACATAGAGGTCCCTGTGCACCACCTGTCCATTTCCTTAGTCTTTATTCTTGTGAGCTTGTTCTGCCAGAAAACAGTAAAAAAGCCATGCAAATTATAATACAATCTTCCACACAGTGCAACTGACTTTGAATGCCATTTCAAATTATGCCCAAAAGTTTTTGGTTTTATTTACAATACAGTTGTCTTCAAACACTGTTCAAGTCTTACTAAATTGAATTTCCCCATTCTTTTCCATCCTTTCACTTCTAGGTAAGGAGCTGATGAATGAAGCTGAGAGGGGAAAAATAAGTAACTAAAAGCATCAAGCCTGTAAGTCACAACTGATGCTAAGAGTTTAATTCTGTGCTACAGTATCAGCATAAAATGTTCATTGTGAACTAAATATTCTCAGTCATGTTTTGGCCCAACAGTGAACAGAACCTTTTCAATACTTAGATGATCAGAGGAAGTATTGGGTTTTGGTTAGTTTGCTCGATCAGCTCTGAAGGTGGCTTGGGAACGAAACAAGTAAGATATAGAAAAATATGTTTTTTTTCACATGCCATTATACTGACTTTTAAATATTACTTACATCATTGTGTTAAAAAGCAAGACATTGTAAGAACGCATCAGTTGTAAAGTCATTTGCCCTTCATGAGGCTATTACGTTATTACCTAGATTTAAAATTTTTTTTAAAAAGGCATATTAAGAAAGCCATAATTATCACAGCATATGGCTTCTGACCAAATATAAAGAACTAGGTCTCAATGCAATTGTGGGAACCACTGCAATGCTGAAGAGCTGTCTAAGCTCAGGTTTCAAAGCTGACTCCTGTTTAATGCTGAGACAGGGCCAAGATCCCGCAGAGCTCCCACACCAGCTCTCTCCAGTTCTGCTTTATTCCTGCCTCCCCGCTGCAGCATGCTACTCCAGGCTTCACAGAGGCAGAACTCTTAATGTACTAAAGGTGTACATTAAATTGTCTTTAGATAAGACAGACAAAACAAAAAAAACTCCACAATTTTTTTTGCAATTATTACTGTTCATGGCTCCATATTGTCAAACACAGTCTTAGAAGACAAATTCTTTCGCTGCAATAGTTGCAAGTTGCTGTTTCCTTTACCTGCAGGACTGCTTATGACCTATTAATGAGACAAAATGAGCCAGGAGCACAAAAATGGGCACATTTTTGTAAATCTATGGCAATTTGCTTTTCAATGATCTGTGACACCTGAGTACACATATTGTCACTTGTCACCCACCACTCAGGCAAACTCAGAATTCAGACTGTAGCTGAGGGGACATTTTCCAGCTTTTTATAGACCTACTAAATAAACCATGGATATTTTTTCTTATGACTATAAATATTTCATTGTTAGAGTTTAAAACTAAGACAAATTTGAAAGAAGTATATCCAGGAAATAAACATACTATTTTCTTTTATGACTCCCCAGCCAGTTACATAGCAGACAGTTCCATAGCAGACAGTTCCATAGCAGACAGTTCCATAAACAAACACTCTAGAGGTGCTGGGTAAACAAATGGGCTGTACCAGCTTACTGAAGAATACAGGCATCTCCATTTCCAACAGAGCAATGTCATAGTCTGAGATAGATTGGTCATACTGCGGGTGGACAATAATCCTTTTGATTGATCTCATAGCTACATGATTGCTCTTTTCATCAATAGCATGTAAGTCCATATATGCTCTCCATCCTGAACGAAGGGAGTATCTGTAAAAAGAATGTTTTTAGAACATCCCATTGGAAAGTAATGCAGTGTCAGCTCATGCCTTTTTGTCTGCTTTTCAGTGTTTGATAAGATGCACCAAAACCAAAGTGAAGGGAGTAGAATACCACTTAGGAAGATAGATGCACTACAGTCCCTGTCTCCTAAAACATTAAGTAGTGTTTTTACTTACTATATTGAAAAAAATTCCTAGAGTTGGAAGACCAATTCCTTGCAGTGCCCCATGCTTTGGAAGTCAGAAAAGTGTATTATTAAACTCTATTTCCTCCTTGCCACATGTAGGAGGTACGTCTTTTCAATTTATGCTACCTAAACTGAACAGTCATAAGTTTTACACTCCACTTACAAATAAGTAGTAGTATTCTGGGAAGAAAAGGCTCAGAAAATCCCTGCCTTCTAAAAAATTGATGTTTACCCTAAATCTAACAAAACGGTGTGTTTTATCATGCAGGATTTATGGCAATAGAGGCAAAACAATTACTTCAGATACTTAGGACTTTCGAAACCAGCAGAATACAATATCAAGGGTTCATATAGTACACCATGTCACAGAGTTATACGTGAATCTACTTATCCAGACAAAGAATAGCTACTACAGAGTTTTGAAAGTAACACTGTAAGGTTGTCAAGCTGCAAATACTCTATGACAGTATAACTTCTTCGTACCTCACAGAATTGGAATCCAGGAAGCAATGGGCAGCAGATATGAGCCACCTATTGGAAATAACAGATGCGCCACATACATGGCCGTGTGCTCCCATCTGTAAACTTGCTTGCCAAGGCCACTTTCCAGCTCTTGCATCTTCACCTCCAACAATTCTGTTTTTCTTAAACTGATGTCTTCCACAAGCTAATAATAATAGTTGAATAAAATAGTAACAAAAAAACACAAAGTCATTTCACTTTCCTACTTAATACATAAACTTTTCTCCATAAACCTCAAAGCTGTTAAAAAAAGATATTTTCTTACTGTGCAACTGGCAAAAAGGTGAGGGCACTTGCTCATTTAAGCACAATTCTAAGCTGGGTTGTTTCCAAAAACTCACTTGAATAAAATCTCCTATCTTTTCTCTCTTTGCATACACAGCTCCTTGACTGTATTTTGTTCAGTTCAAACAAGCACTAAGACCTACTAGATTATCCTGGAAGTGGGCATTGCTTGAAATAAGTCATCATAGACAGAATGGATCAGTGGATTTAAAATGAAATAGTGCAAAATTCAAGGCAGGTATTTTCATAGAGGTGTTACCAGGAGACTCATTGTTTTAAATTCACATCTGATTTAATCAATTCTTAATCCAATAATGTTTGATCATAGCACAAATTCCTGACTCAGTTTCCCAAGTCATTAACTAATTTTTAAATAAATGTTACTACACCACAGTTCATTTCGTCAGATCCGTCTGCACAGTCTCTTTTCCCATCACACTCAGGATTTGGTTTCAGCAAGCATTTCCCATTGAGGCATTTGTATGTATGAGTGGAGCAACTTCTGTAGGCTGAAATAAGAGAGAGAAGATAGCGTCACACGTTTGGAACTGTAGTATCAAGTGATTAAAACCACTTTCACATTCACCCTATTCAGTGAAAGTTGTTCAAAGATACACATTCCAATCTGCTTGAAGTCATATTCTGTACTGGTGTAAAATGGTCCCTCTATGGAGAGGGGACAAGGAGAACATTCCACTTTCGTTAATGTTCACAGTAGTTTCAGCCTCCACTGTCCATGAGGAAAAAGACTGAAGAGCCTCCAACTGTCCTCACTCCCATTTTACTTAACTCTCTATCAAGAAAGCTAGGCTTGTCAAATCCATTGTTTTACCTTCACCAGTGTTACTGGCACTGCAAATTGTAAATCTTCACAGCAGCTATCATCTGGAAGTCAAACTTTTGTTTTTAAGTGAAAGCTGAGAAAAATATGGAAAAGCTTTATATCTCCCTCCAATGAATTTTTGGCTGAGGACTATCACAGTTTAGTATGTGGAAATCCTGACAGATCTCAGCCATAGGCTTTCATTACTATTATTCTTATTATCATGTCTTGGTTTGAAAGACAGGTGTCTG